AAGCCATTCACTGCTAGTACACTTTAAAAAGCCTGTATCTATTCACAATTGAGCAATTTAGGAATCCTGTGAACTACACTTAGGGGAAAGACAGATATATAAGGGTGATGTGTACTAAGCCACAGAGACTGGCTCTCTGGGGATTAATATGCTGTATACAGAATCCTCATGCTAGTGTCTTCCAAAGAAGAGAAAAATGAACTTTGTAGGATTTCTAAAAGAGAATATGTAATACTAAAGGTAAATTACTAACAAAGGCAATGGCAACTTAAAACATTATAAAACATTACTTTCCAGTACCTTAAATTTTCCACCATCTTTTACGTGCCAGACAACTTACGGTAGCCACCCCTACACACACACATCCTATTCAAGGTTTCACTCTGTGTGGTTTCAGCTACCTGAAGAAAGCTGTGGTCCAAAAGTAGTAAATGGAAAATCACAGGAATAAACAATTCCTAAGCTTGAAATTCTCACTCTTCTGCATAGCCTGATGACACCTCCTACTGTCCTGCCCCGTCCCACCCCGGATGTGAATCATTTCTTTGTCTGGCATGTCCACACCATATACAATACCTGCCTGTTAGTCACTCACTAGCCATCTCGGTCATCACACGGATTGTGGTATCACATGGCATGTGGGGAAGTAACCCTTATTTGACTTAATAATGGCTCCAAAGCCCAAGGGCAGTGATGTTGGCAATTTTATTACAGTATATAGTTGCAAGTGCTTTTACTACTAGTTATTATTGCTAGTCTCTTACTGGGCCTAATTTATAGATTACACTCCACAGTAAGTATGCATGAGTAGGAAAACAATATAGTAATATGGTTTAGTACTCTGAAACTTCCACTGAGGGGTTTTGGAATGTACCTTTTAGGACAGCAGCAGTGAACCTATGGCACTTTCTTTTAACACAAAAGATGTTAATGTATGAGTTGTTTTTTCTAAGCTAAAACCTCAGTATTCTGTTTTAATTGCAGTGTTGGCACTACGTGATAAATAAGTGGGTTATGAGTTGCAGTCTGGGCACTTGTCTCTAAAAGGTTCGCCATCAATGCCCTAGAATAAGGTGGGGATGGGGCAAGACTATCGTAGTTCCATTCACACATTTTCAAACTGATGGGGGCAAATATTTATCAGGCTAATTTCTGCTTTTAAAGTGCTGAGGATCCAACCCAGGGCTTCATACAGGCTGAGGAACTGCTCTGCCACAGAGCTATACCCTCAGCCCCAGGCTAATCTTAAGCACCAGCATAGCAAGGTTTCTAATCTCTCTGACCAGCCTGAATTAAGAAGCTAGGAGGGTCAGAAAGGAAAGGCAAGGAAGAAAGTCAGGAGACAGCAGCTCCATCCTGGCCTCAGCCACTCAGTAACTGCTGGGTTCCAAGCAGCCCACTTCTCCACAGAAGCAGGAGGAGCTCAAAAATGTTAGGATGTTTCTAGTTCTCATTATTTCGTTTTTTATTTTATTTCTGTCAAAGTAATACACAAGACTCCTTTCTAACGGTTAGTCTCTAAAGTAAGACGGTCAATCTATTTTCACACTTTTCCTACAACATACAAAGAGAAAGTAGCATCACATAAAGAAAAAAAGAAATGAGAGCTCACTTCCTTGTATTTGATACTTCATTAACCAGATTTCTGCGATCCCTTCACGTCATTTCTTAAACCAAATCAATCTCATTCTACACTACGCCCCTTTCCATTTTGTTTCATTTCCAAGCTCATCATGATAACAAAAATGCCGTTTCACTTTATAGTACATGTTACAATTTGAAAAAAGGTAATGGCTTTTTCACACTTGCTGTAAGAGGGAATCGAGTTACTCTGCTTCAGTGTCTGAATCTATAAAATAAGGATGAAAATAATCCCTCTAAAGACTGCTGAAAAGATGAAGTAAAATACATGAAAGCATGGTGCCACACAGAATATGCCTACAATCAATAAACATCTGTGTGCATTAAAAGCATGCGGGAGGACAATTATCTGTAAAAGTTGTTTAACTACCTCATTCCTCTTTAACAGCATATTCACTTCAAGAGATGTGGCTGAAAAACAGGCAACACAGAATATTTAAATTATGTGTTAGTTATTATTTTAAAAATTCAACTGGATAAGCAGGTATTTAACATTTACTATGTGCCAGGTACTATAATGCTAGGATTCCAGAATTCAAAGATGAGTAAGACAACGGCCCCACCCTCAGAAAGCTGCCAATCTAGAAGAGACAAAAATTATGAGGTACTTAAGGGTACATTATAAAAGTATGTGCAAGAAGCAGAAGTAGGAAGATGAGGCAAGAAATGAATTCTCCCTAAAAGGAATAAAGAGGAAGCAGCTAAATAAAGTAGCATGGTAGAGGGAAAAGAGGAGTTATGTAAGCAAAGACTTGGGTCTAAAGCTAGCTGCCCATTTACTAGCTGTATGGTATGAGGCAACTCAGTGTATCTAAGTTTCCCAGTAAATATACTTTGAAGAGTTATTCTTGATATTAGAAATAATATACGTAGAGTGCGTAAAACACAGCAAGCACTCAATAAGTGGTAACTACTTTTAGAAGGAGTTGTGTTGGCTTGCGTTTAACACATTAAGTTTTAAATGTCACCCTATCTAGCATCTCTTGAATAATGATCAACCTACATACACGACTGCTAAGGTCACCGGTACGGTGAAGTCCACAGGAACCACTTCGCAACATTACCACTTAAACAGAGCAGCTTTTTGTAATGTGGTTTCTTCTGTGGGTATTCTCACCTGCTAATAAAGCCTACTTCTGTTACTTTCTGCATTTCTGGCCTGATGCATAGAACCTGCCTACTTAGATCCTGTTATTTCCTAGGTTCCCTTCCTCCGTCCTACTTCGGCCCTACTTTTGGATGGCCCGCATATAAATGACAAGGCCTGATCAGCAATTGGCAATTACCAAGCTCACGCTGGCAGAAAACAAAAGCTACTTTTTGGTTGTTCGCTATTAGCAACCTCCTGGCTGACTCGTGCAACTGGAAGCCACTAGAAAGATGAGAAAACCTTAAACATTTAAAATTTTAAATCTGGCCAAGAAGGTCACTTACATTTACTCTATGGAGCTCAAAACTTTCCCTAAATACCCACTGATGTTAGCTAATCTTTAGCACGCACAAATCTTACAAACTCCTTACCTATCATTTCACACTAAAGCCGTAGGATGAAGCAATCTATCTCTTAAACTAGCAAATAGTCTTTATGTCACTTTAGTCTTTCACAACTATAAAAACATATTTTTGATCAGCAACCAGAGTCTGCTTGCTCCAACTTAAAAGAGTATACCTTAGAAGTGAGGGTACCATGTAGCCATCCAGAATCTACCTTAATGGGAGCTCCCACATTCAAGGAAATTAGTGCCGATAAAACTGTCTTTATATAATTCCACAAAATTTGTCCCTGAATAAATGACTTCAGTATCACACCTGATTTTATATATACACCCATATACAAATATGTATATAATATGTACTCACTATTAACCAGTTTGACATTATCTACTCTATCATTATCTTTTGAAATACTAATGTTCAACTGAAACTGACAGCCCTACACATTTTCAGTAAGTAAAACGTACGTTTTTAATTTTTTTTCTCTGAAAAGGAGTCACTGACGGCTCACCAAAAATTACAATTGAATCTCTTTTGTAAATACTACTCCTTAGAGGCTATTTTTTGAAAAGTCAAAACTGTGTAAGCATTTCCACCTTAATGAAGCTAGAACTTTCTGCGAGATGCAAACCTACGGATTAGATTTTACAAAATACTATGTGTATGATCGCTCATTCTAACGAACAGCAACTGACGTTACCCTGAAGTTAGACCCTATTCCCAACAGCTTTGACGAATGAAAGGAAACACAAAATTATCAACTGTCACGGAAGGGGCGGCCTGAGGCCAGAAGGAGAGTGACAGACAAAAGGAAACGGGGGGGGGGGGGGGGGAGACAGATAAAGCTACAAGACTTCTAATCACTAGACTTTGGCCCAGCCCCTGACCCACGATAATCTACTTAGTCATCTCCATCTCCAAAGAGGAATACACAAAACACCGTCGAAGCAAATACTGGAGATCACTGCGAGCAGGGACACTGTGTTCTGCATTTGCTTTGAGATTTACCAGAAAGAGCTAAACCTGAAAACGATCTGAACACCCGCGGGAAGCGGCGTGTGTGCGCGTGTGCGCGCGTGCAAGGGGAGGGCGAGGGCAGACACGCGAGCTCGCTCCAGCCCCGCGACGCGGCCCGCGCGGACTAGAGAGGCGGGGCCGAGCTCCCGCGCGGGCGGGGGTC